GTTTACTCTCAAGGTCACCTCTCTCCTTTTGATTTTGTTGGCAAAGATGACTTTACCTGGAGCTTATATTCCAATTTACATCAATCTCTTGCATCAAGAGTCACCAAAGCTACTAAATTTGCTATGAAATAAATATACTATAAATTTATTTCCTGCCAGGGGGTTGCTATCTTAATCCATGTGGGTGCTACTTTACATCTGGTGTGATAATACTGTGTCTATCCAACTATTGAACTAAACATTCCTTCATTCCTTAGCATTGGACATACTCATTATGCAATATTGCCAGAAATTGGCCTGACCTATTTGACAGAGTACCATAGCAAATAGGTAGGCTGCTGTAATCTAAATCTTAAAATTGGGAAACCAATATTAGGAAGATGAGGAAAGTAGGAGAAAGATACTAGTTAATAATTCAGTTAGCTAAGCTTATTTTCAGCAGAAGACATGTATTTTAATTAGCAACAATACTAATTTTATCCATAAGGCTCAGTAGCGGAGTCTATGCTTAGTTACTACATGCAGTGTTTCCATAAAATGTCTACTATGGCCTCAACTAAATTGTACAATCTTTTATAATTAAAAATATTTTTAGAGTAAGAAAAATCAATTGTATATAGTTACATACACACAATAAGCTTTTCAGGATGGCAAAAAGTTTGCCTTGTGCTCAAAATGTCTTCAAATCAAAGTAAGTCTGTGCATTGATGTTTGCTTCAGGCAACTAGTTACAAGGACGGACTCTGGTTTCCGTGGAATAAAATTCCATTTGTTTCTCAGCTTGCTGTTGCGGTGTTGCCTATTTCTAACAGCCATTGCCCCCTCTCCCCCCACACCAACACACACATCACCAACCGCTTTCCTTGCCCCCCTTTTAAAATGTTCCAATGTTCCAATTATCACTACAAAAGAAAAGCAGGCATGCCATTTCTAAAGTAGGTGGCTTGCACAATTGCAGGCTTGCGTCCGACTAAGCCAAGGCACACTCTCGATGTCAGTTTCCTTGTGTGCTCGGGGCTTGCCTTCTCTCCTAATATGCTGCCACCCCCATCCTTAGTTGCAAGGTCACCCTCCTGCAGTGACTTAAGTTCCGAGTGTCAGAAAGGCATAAGCGTAGCAATTAAGTCTCTGATCACAAAGCCAGTGCCTTTCCAATGAGAGCAGGCTGGGGGTGTTCTCTCGCACATGTCAGAATAATTCTGCTGAGCAGGAATTAGGGTAGTCAAGGCTATATTTAAGTGCCATCATAATGAGAGCTGCAAGGGGGATGGGATGGGTTTAGAGAAAGCTTTGTTATGGCTGTTCTGATTATGTTGTGTGGAAGAGCCTGGAAAAGGTTGGCAGCACCCCTTGTGAGTGAAACAAACACAGATATGATCAATGGACCTAGGCCTCCAGATATAATGTTGTAAACTGTACATGATTAATGCCTGTCAGGCCCCAAGAAAGACACGTAGAGTTACTTTTGAACAGTTTCCTTTATTCCTCTCCTCTTGACAGAATCCTTACCAAACTAAGGCAATGACTTGCATCGCTAAAGATAAATTCTGCTTTAACTCTCTTCCCACCAATCAAACTATCTGAAGTCAGGTGTCTCTTTGTCCTTTGGGATTCAGCCCCTCCCTCATGGAAATCCAGACCACATCCACCACAAAGCCAGTGTGAAATAATGGATAGGCTTGTATGGAGCAGTTCATGTTCAGTGATCAAATTTAAGGAAAATTTTGGGCCCTCTCATGCTGTCTCCTCCACAATCCTCTTTTGTGGTCTTGCCAAGGTTGGACAACACATCTGGTATAAGGTATTCTGCTAATACCTGTTACCAGAACAATGGTTTTAAAAGAGGTCAAATGAATTGTCCCAATTAGTCAGTCTAGATTAGACCCATCTATCCAAGTCTTTTGCTCTAGCAGCCGTTTACTTAAATTCAGTATAATCCCCTGAAATGTATGCTGAATATACTCAACACAAGATAAATTTCTCTGTTCAGGCATCAACCAATCAATCTCCTGAAATGAAGAGGCATCAATTCAGATGCTTAACACTTCTTTAAAAAGAAGAAGAAAAAGTTTTGGAGAGTGTTATTTCTGGAGGGACTGCCACTGTGAACTTTTCACTGCAGGTTTTTGTTTCCTTCTCCAACAGATAATCATAAAGCGAAGCTCTGATGGAATCCAAAGCATTTTTAACAGCAACCAAGCTGTCTTGGAATAAACCAACAGCAAATGGGGGGGGTGTGTTTCTTTCAAGTTCCGTGCCTCTCCAGGAATTTTTGCCAAATGATCTGCCCCATTTGGTGCTAAGGTTGTGCTGCCACTCTGCACAGGGTCCCATTTATAAAGGCAAGCCTGTCACAAGCCCATGCCGGTCTACCTCACGTGTCAGGCACTGCCAGGCAATGTTGCCTAGCAACCTGGCTCATTCCCTGAGAAGCTGACATCAGCCTTGGCATGGGAGGACTGGGAAAGGGAGGAAAGGCTGGCTGGATGACATTGACACCTTTGAAGGAAAGGGAACGATCCTGTTCCCCAAAGGAGACACCAGGTTGTTGTTGTTTTTAAAAAGAAACTAATTAATATATTAAATGCACATTGTGAGGCCAAAGAGCTTACAATTACTCTTAGGTCAATGTGCAGTCAACTTGACCGGCTTCAATCATGATTCTCCTGTTAAAAAAGATTTACTCTCCTCCCATATCTCTATCCGTTGCTTCCCAAAACCCAGCTCATTAACTCTCCTTCTGAAATCTTGCAGCTTCTTAACTAGAGCCACTTCTAATCTCCATGTCATTTTAATACTTATTGCCACAAAAAAAGGGATCCTGCTCAAATTATCAAAGCCTCTCTTGGACAGCCCTCCTGCATATCCTCCTCTGAAACAGCAAGTTTGATTGTTGCAGAGGCAGCTATTTTGCTGGAAATTCCTGAGTCTCCCAAAAAAAAAGTCTGAAAATAAACATAAAAGGTGCAGGTGGTGTGTGTGTGTGTGTGTGTGTGTGTGTGTGTGTGTGTGTGTGAGAGAGAGAGAGAGAGAGAGAGAGAGAGAGAGAGAGAGAGAGAGTCCCTGAACTTATTTATTTGAAATTTGGCATTTCTCATCCCCTCGTGTGGGACTACTTTTCCTGCACTTTTCATCCAGTTCTGTCAAAGAGAATCTAGACTGTAGTTAATTTCCAGGGACAGTCACAAGAATGGCATGGACATTTGGATTCTGAATCAAAATTTATATTTGGGCTCCCAGGCTGCTTGTGAGCATGGAAATTTACCCAAGTGTATTGGGCTGTTTTGGAGTCCTTCAGAATGCAAGCCAGATCTTAGTTTATAAAATATGTGATTTTTAAAACAAGTTTGGAGAATTAATTTTTGCAAGAACAGTATGCAAGTGATTACAGTTTTTCTTTATTTTTCCTTATGTATTTATTTTGGTGTCTCCAGGTCAGCTTTTTAACTTGCTGGACTGCCCTTTGCAGTTTTCTTGGCAAGATTTCAGAAGTGGTTTGCCATTGCCTTTTTCCTAGGGCTGAGAGAGTGACTGGCCCAAGGTCACCCAACTGGCTTTAAGGCTCAGGGGACTAGAACACTCGGTCTCCCAGGATGCAGCTTGCTATCTTAACTGCTACACCAGATGGGCTCTGCAGGGACTCGTCAGGCAATTGCTAAGAATCCAGACTGGCTAAACATACATGCACAAACCCCCCAAACTTATAGAATATCATGGCCTTTTTTTGTCCCAGGATTCTCAAGGGGAAGTCATGTTTTCAAATCTCCACGGTGGTGAGCAGCTATTAATCCTGCATAAAAAGAAGGTGACTGTTCTATATGGTGAATTTCTCGAGAAAAAGGTTGGGGTAGAGCCATAGGACACAATCCCTGGAAAAGATGAGTTGCCTGGGTGTCTCAGTTTCCACAGCAACCAAGAAAAAGGCAAAAGCAAGCCCATTGAATTGTGAATGCAGTTAAAGAGAGATCGAATGTTTATGTCTCCACGTGTGGGGGGAGGGGGTGAGTAATAACCCCTTCAGCATGACCCCTCAAGCCAACCATTCTAGGATCTCAAGTGGATCCAGCACTAATCTGGTCCACTTGGAAGCTGCTTCTGATTTTTACGTTAGGAGAACACAGAAAATGAACGCCTTTGTTAAAAGGCATCTGTTGGCTTATGGATATATTTGCTGCATTTCCCCGCTTTGCTCTACACTACTGGTACAGCATTTGGGGAGGGTACTGCGCAGTATGGAATCTTCTGGCAATTAAGGAAGAAATAGGAATGGAAAGGAAGCCCTTGAAAGTGAGGATGACAAGTGTTAACTCCTGAAGGTCTTGACTCTAAGCTCCTCATAAGCAGGGATTTCTCTCTCTCTCTCTCTCTCTCTCTCTCTCTCTCTCCCCCACCCCACTTTTTCTTAGTTACTTAGTCAAAAGCAAAACAAATTAGAAGAAGGTAGGAGGGCAAACCAGAGACTTACCTACTTGGTTCCCTGATTCCCACAGAAGCACTGGCAACCTTCTCTTCACTGCCCCTAACAGCTAATAAATATGCAACTGCTGAATTCGTCTACCTGGGTCCATGAACACGTACAAAGAGAGAAGGAATGAGTATTAAAATGGCCGCTCATCTTTTGCCCCAAATCTGGGATGGCCTCCTTAGAACTGGGCCCTTTGTAACTCGAGTGGGTCTCTTCTTAGGAGATTGTTCCAGCCCTCCAAAGCCCCACCATCTGGCACGGTACTGCATGTTCAGCTCATCTGTCAGGCAGAGGGAGGCAAAGGGTCAGAAACAGAATGGAAATAGATTGTCAAGTGGATTCTTCCTCTTAATGTTGAATTGTGGGCCTGAATAGTTGGCAAGAAGAGAACGCTGGCACAGCAAGCGACGAAGCATGAACCAGTGATAGCAATTTGTACTGTTACAATTTTCTAGATTGTCTCCTGGTATGATCTCAGACAGGTGGTATGCTTGGAAGATTTCCAAAATCTAAGGGGGTTTCTTTCTTCGGTTAGATACTGTTTCCAGTAAGCTCCAGAACAACAACATATATACCATTGCCAAGAGAAATGTGGAAGGCCAGGACATGCTGTACCAGTCACTGAAGCTTACCAATGGCATCTGGATACTGGCTGAACTACGCATTCAGCCTGGCAATCCCAACTATACGGTAAGGTCCTGTTGCTGAGACAACAATGCCCTGAACCTCTAGGCTCTTGTTTGGATCTCACCTTTCTTCTTTCTCTCTTAATTTGCTGTTTCCTTGGGGAAACGGTCACTGCACTGGCGCTCACAGTTTGGAAAAAAGTACAGGTAATCCTCAATTTACGATCACAGTTGAGCCTAAAATTTTGGTTGCTAAGTGAAATATCTGTTAAGGGAGTTTTGTTCCCTTTTACAACCTTTCTTGTGACAGGTGTTTTAAGTGATTCACTGCAGTTGTTAAGTTAACAACATGGTTGTTAAGTGAATCTGGCTTCCCCATTGACTTTGCTTGTCAGATGGTCACAAAAGGGGATCACATGACCTTGGGACCCAGCAATGGTCATAAACACAAGCCCGTTATCAAGTGTCTGAATCTTGACTGCAAGGGTCATAAGTGTGACAAATGGTCACAAATTGCTTTTTTCAATACTGTCTTAACTTTGAATGGTCACTAAGCAAACTGCTGTAAGTTGAGGACTACCTGTACTCCAATTTTTCAAGAAGTTCAGTTAAGTATCATAACCGCATTTCAAATTATCACTTTGGGAAATTTGGAGGACAGATGAAAATACTAAAACTGTCACCTGATTAAAGAAAATCATCTTTAATGAATCATCTGTTTAACCCACTGACTGGAAAATTTTGGGCCTGTCCAGCGTGCAACACTCCAACACTCATCTTTGTTATCATGGTCGTGTTGGCAATAATTGATTAGGCTTGGAATTCACTCCATCTGGTAGGCACCAAGTCCCTTTCCTCTCCTTTATTCCATGAAATGATTAAAGCCTTATACATAAGGGGGAAATTGGCTGGTTTCACCCTCAAGCCAGGTTAACGAGGGGCAGTTGTGCTGGCAGAACATGCTGTAATCAGATAAATAGGCTATTGTTGAATGTGATGGTCTGATTAGAATTATATCAAGCATGCAGCACACAGAGTTTTAGCATGTTGGGTAAGCTTTCCTGGCCAGATTTTTTTTACAAAGAAAAACTAAATTCTGATTAGTAATGCATAGACACAGTGTTGAATTGAAGGGACTTGGGGCCATCTCCATGCAGTTTTAGCTCTGCCCTCCAATCGTCCATCATTGGCGTATTGTTCAGGGGCTCCTGAAATAATTCCCTTTCCCTCTTTTCTCCAACAGCTGTCTCTGAAGTGCCGAGCCCCTGAAGTGTCCCAGTACGTCTACCAAGTCTACGATGCCATTTTGAAAAACTGATCTGTCAAACCACCACCACTGCCAGCATCTCACCACATGGGGAATGGGAGCGGGGCTAACTCCACATCTACTGCCACCGCCCGTGTGTTGGTGTAGGCCAAGAACATTCCTTCCCTCGATCTTGGAAAAGCAGCTCTATGTTGTGTCCAAGATCTCAGCTCCAGATGCTGAGGCTAAATCAAGGTAGCAAGTAGTGTCCATGTGCCGGTAACAGTAGGGGATGTTGCATTTGATACTTTTAGCATCTGTGAGAATTTTGTAACCACTCCGCATCAGCTGTTTTTGCAGTCCTGTGTGCCATGTCTGTCTCGTTTGTTCCTGTGGCTTCTTCATCTCGTGCCAATGCTTTGCATTTTCTAAACCACTGTCGGCCTCTGGTTAATATTTTGTAATATGCTTCTTCATTTTAATAAATGCACATGCACACACACGCACTCAGCCCAGCCAGAGGCATCTGAGAGAAAACACACACACTGCACTTTATTATTCTTTTGTATTTGCGTACTGCTGATTAATTTTTGTAATGAACCAGCTGTCTACAATAAGCAGGAATAAAGGAGGGGCATTGAAACAAGACTAGTTGTACAACTGTTGCAAGGAAACCAATGCTGGCTTATTGATTTAACCTTGGGAAATTCGATTACCTGGTACGAATTGTAGTTTATTATTATTTAAGGCCTCTCCTTGCCTGCCCTCCCTTATAGACTGAAAAATCCCATCATTTACTAAACCTAATCCTGTGGACTCCTGAGGGTTTGTAGCTGAAGAGCCAATCTATTGCTCAATTTTCTTCAAATTGAGAGGCATTGCTGCCCCTGCATGCATCAGTGTGCATCACAGCTCCATATTCTCTTTTCATGTCCTGCCGATTGCACAGCGGGTTCTGATAGTTTTGTGCATGTGTGGTCTCTTTGGAGAAAAAAAAAACATGGCAGCCAAGACAGTGGCTTTCAGAAGCAAAGAAGAATGGTAGGTAGCAAGGCTGGGAAAAGAAAAAAAGCAGCGGAAAGGGCAGTTTGATTATCCTGGCAGTTTAATCCAGTCACTGTTTCCTCTTGACCTGGGTGTCAATCTCACTGGGCAAACTCCTACTGTGGCCGGCTTTGCCATCTCTGTAATGGAATCTCTCTGGAAACCTAAACCCGCGATATTTTTCTGCCACCACATAATACTCCAGTGTGGCTGAAATGGAAACTCCAGCCATCCTCCTTCCACTAGGATACAACCTTTAGCAAGGATCTCTATGCCCTTCAAACTTCAAGGTCGAGAAACACGTTCTTTATGTGGAATCTGGTCTCACCATTAGGCCCCTAACCTGTTCTGTCTAAGGAAAGATAAGAAAGTCTTTTTCCTCCGTGTCAGCTTCCTTCTGGTTTATCTGCCTTTTTTTCCCTATGCCCCCATCTCCATTGCCCCCTTTCTTGTAGCTGTTTCATTTGGGAGATGTGGTGTCTAGGAGATCCTCTGAGTAAATTCTGCATTGCAATGATGCAGGCTATTCCTGGGGGACTTCAGTTTCCTCCACCCACCTAACCCCGCACAAGCAGCACAAATAAACTTTCCAGTGGGCTGCTGCATTGCCTTTGAAACTTGTATATAGAACTAGGCCAAGATAACATTCAGTGGGCTTGGTGGAAAAGCCTCTTCTTATTTGTCTATGCAGAATCTCAATCATCCAGCTCATGGTTGTCACAAAGGTGCTTTTTCAAGAAGTAACTAGACTTTCTTGTTTTTATTTGAAGACATTTCACTTCTTTTCCAAGAAGCTTCTTCAGCTCTGACTGGATGGTGGGGAATGGGAGGGTTTATATTTCTTGCAGACAGCTGATCATTTGCATTATTTTAGAGAGACCTTGAGGCCACCTGGAGGTTTATCTGTGTTGTCAGGGTCACTTCAGTAGTGCAAATGGGTGTGGAGCCATTTTGGAACTGTTGAAAGGACTGTGTTGTAGACTGGAAATAGATGATGTCGTATCCCTTCCCTTCTGTTGAGAGAGGGCTATTCAGTTTTAACATAGATGGCCTCTTTGACCCCTCTTTCAAACCAGTGGTCCCCTCTGTCCAAAATGTGGGCTTTGCTGTCTTCAAAAGAGTGACCTCTGTGTTTTAAATGCAGATGGACTGCTGAATCTTGTCCTGATGGGTTTGTTCTCCTATATTGTGCCATGTGTTTATGAAGTGATTGTTTTGTTCCTCAATGTACAATGACTAGCAGTCTGCAAGGAGTATAAATCTTCCATTCCCCACCAGCCAGCCAGAGCTGAAGAAGCTTCTTGGATGAGAAACGAAACCTCTTCAAAGAAAAACCAGAAAGTCCAGTTGCCTCTTGAAAAAGTACCTTTGGGATACCTTCTCATTTGGAATTTAAAGAATCATTCACCTTTGAACATAACAGGCAGCTCACTAAGATGTACTCTTCTAAGTTCTGGTCAAACTATGCCTGTTAAAATCATAAATATATTTTCATTGGGCAAGTTCTTATGATCCTATAGGTAGTTCTTGCTTAATGACCATGATTCATGGTGGTTTTTGCCAGTTTCTAGAATTTTTTGCTGCTTTCTGGCAAAAAAACCCCTCCTATTCAGATTAACAACATTCACTTAATATCTACTGCAAAAAAAGCCAGAAAATTACTCCCAGTCACATGAGTGCCAGTGCCTCAACTTATGATGTAATGACCTACTGGGCTTAATCACAGTTATATATCAAGAACAACCTACAATTCCATTGTGCTTGCTTCATAACTACAAGAGACCTTGGCTCTTTTCGGTCAGGTATCTCAAACTGCATTTCCAAACTAATTCCTTCAGTAACATCTTGGGGTTCATGGCTTAATCAAGAAGTCACACTGGGTCATAAGTGTCTTCATTGGCTCTTTGCCTGTATCTTGAATCTCCTTTGGAAAGTCTAACAGCTGTGATTTCAGTGACCTGCATAGGCAAGCCAAATTCATTATCCCAGTTGACAGATCAGTAGAACCTCAATAACTACTTTGTCATCTGCCTCTTAAAACTGGGAGTTCTTGAGCATCCTGCTTTTGGCTTAGCCTGATTCCTGTAATAAAATAACCACAGATAATGTCTGTGTTGTCATTGTACAACTGCTATATGCTGTGCAAGAGCCGTGATGGTGCAGTGGTTAGAATGCAGTACTGCAGGGCTAACTCGCTGCTCACTCCAGGAGTTCAGTTCTGAGCAGCTCAAGGTTGACTCAGCCTTCCACCGTTCCGAGGTTGGTAAAATGAGGCCCCCACATTGTTGGGGGCCATATGCTGACTCTAAACTTCTTAGAGGGGGCTATAAAGCACCATGAAGCGGTATATAAGTCTAAGTGCTATTGCTATTAGGCGGCCCAGAAGGCATAATGGCATTGTGTAACTCAGGGATTCGAAGTTGCAGTGCTAGCTCAAAATTGTTGGTTTCATAGCAAAGAAGCCAGTGACACTCTGAAGCTTGCAGGATCCCCAAGTCATGAAGATTTGTGCCTGGCCCTCAAGAAAGTTGTCCCAGGCAGAGATCCTCTGACTCTTCCATGCAGGGCTGCGTTTACTCTGACTTACCAATTACTTCTGGATGTGCTAAGTGAAGTCACTGTTCCTCCTAGTTTTAAAGGACTTCCTGCCAGATCTCTCTGCCAGTTCCCATCAACGGGGTGGGGTGGGGGAAGTTACCTTTTTGTCAACATTGAGATGGTAAAAAGGACGTCCTAGAAACTTAGACCCATAGCATTTTCAAGATGTGCCCCTTGCAATGAGACGAGTGGAGGCTGTTTTACAAGAATAAATGCTTTGAAACTCTTCCACCTCCAAATCAGTGATGTGAAGCCACATGCCCAACATTAGCAGAGCTGGTGTCCAAAGTCCAAAATGAAATAAAAGTAGCAGGCAAGGTCCCAGACCTGTTTCAAACTGCTATTGCATCCATTTGGGGGGTGGGAAGTAGACCCATTTGACACCAGGGGAAGTGGTGAGGGGATTGATGATAGATCTGAGCTTTGCTTTGTATCAGCAATAAATGTAATTTACACAATTGGCCATGTCTGATACTATCTTCGGTCAGGAATGGCAATGGAAAGAACTAAGGAAATGGGAAGCAAGACAGTTTAGTGGGATTCCTACTTTTAGGTTGTAATAGATGTCAGACTGCTGTTAAGTGTTCCAGTACAGCTGGAGCTCCTTGGTTTCTGGGAGAAATCAGACTCTTATTTTGTTTATTTCCAATCCATCTTTCAGTGTAGGACCTGAAAAACCCTTCCGGAGACAGGTTTGCATATAATACAAAACAACAAGAGTGAGATGAAAACCAAAGACTATAAAAGTTAAATACAGAAGTTTAAACCCATTCAAAGGCAATGACCTCTCTTCTGAACAAATCAGTACAGTACTGAGCAATGCAGTACTTCTTTAGGGGAAAGTTTAAATCAGTAATATTTTTTTTCTGATTAGCTTTCCTGTTCACGTGTCTTACCTATGTGGTGTGCTTGCTCTCCATCTATAACAACCCATGGTTAATGAAAGGGATCTAATATTTTACTGGCACCATGGATGTTCCATCTAACACAGAGGCCTTCTTTCTACAGCTAATCTCTTCAATGTATGATCTGATGTTGTGCTCATTACACAGTATATATCTGTACTGTAAAGTTTCAATGGGATGCTCATTCCCCCCAAACTGGCTGGTGACAGGGGTAGGGGGGGTGAGGCAAATTAAGGTTCAGTACTTAATTTTTGTCATTAGAATGGTGTAGGGATTCTGCTTATGGTGGCTTTGCTGTTATGTTGGCTTGCTTTGGTTATGCAGAAATAGATGTTACAGTGAGTTTAGATGTTATGGTGTTACGATGTTTGTAGTACTGTAACTTGAGAAAATATTGCATAGTTCTTTAATATATGATTACTGCAATAGAAACATTTTATGCAACATATTGGATCTCAGGAGACAGAACATTGGGAAAATTACGTATGTGATTAACGTGCTGCCCTAGTTAACTAATTATGTAAGGTCTAAAGAAGGCAGGTGACAATGTAGCCAATTTATTAAATACACTGTATAAAGGTAGGAGATGGGTACAGTCTATTATAAATGGATGGTGTATGTTCTCTACAAAATCTAAAATATATCCACACAACAAATTTACGATTGGTTTTGTACCGGTCATGGCTACTCCCAATAAATCCTGGTATTGTAGTTTGATGGATGATATTTCTGTTTGTTTGGTTTTTTTCCCCTCCCTTGCAGGCATGGAATAACCGAAATGGCTTAAGCCTGTAATGCAGGGGTGTCAAACTCAAGGCCCGCGGACCAAATCGGGCCCATGGGGTCCTTGGATCTGGCTAGCAGGGCCAGCCTGGAGACAGCAAAGGACTGGCCTGTGGTGCCTCTGTCAGCAAAAATGGGCTCCCGATCTCCGTTTTCGTTAGCAGAGGGTTGCAGAAGGCCGTCGAAAATGAAGATTGGGAGACTGTTTTCTCTGGCAGAGCACTCGGGCCACCACAGGCGCCCCCAACATGAGTTATATCAAGCTGGCCACGCCAACCCTGGGCCCTCGAGGTCAAACACAACCCTGATGTGGCCCTCAATGAAATCACCCTGCCGTGATGTGAATGAGTTTCCTGCATCCAGAAGGGCAATTCAGAGTGAGCAAATCTGCTTTGTGTTTGAAAGCCAACTGGGAATTCTGGGAGCTGAGCCCAACATAGCTGATAAGCGTCAGATTAGGGAAGGCAATTGTGGAACACAATAACCAGAAATGCTGATGGGTGGTACCAGAGACATATAGCAAAGACAAATCAAAGCTAATTCTTGTTGGGAGAGACAGCTCAACTATCCATGGGTCCCGAAGCAGGTAGGATTTTAAAGGTTTGAACCACCCTTGAAGTGGACCCAGAAATCTACAGGTAATCACGAAGCAATCTC